AAAGTACTATTTAAATATTTTATCATAAATTTCTTTTTTGATATTGTCCTAAAAATTTAATCATCTAATTTTTTTTAATTATATATAGCTCTAAATCCTCTAATTTTAATTTCTTGAAATTGTTTTTTATTCCAAGGAGAGAGAAAGAGATAGTGAGAAGCGAGCGACTGACTCTGTAAGCTTCGGCCACGACAAGACTTCCATCGGAAGCCAAAGCAAGCCCGAGCGGGCGGCCACCAACTTCGACCCAATCCTCCACCTCCTCGTCCCTCGCCGGCGCCGCCACCCGAACTTTCCTTATCCATCCATCATAACATCCAGTATACAGAACCCCTTCCTTCTCATCGTAAGCCAAATCCTCCGGTCCCCGAAGCCCTTCACCGACTCGTTCGCTCACGCCGAGCACAGAGTTATGCTCCTCCGCCGCCGCCGCGGCCTTCGACCGGAAACCGTAGCTCACTGGAAGTGGCGAAGGGTCGAAGTCGCTATGCCAGCTTGTGAGAATCAGTGAGAGCAAGACGGGGAGAGAGGTTAGGAGAAGGAAGGGAAGAGCGAGTTTTAGGTTGATGAGACGAGAAGCTGTAGTGTTGTTTGAGTCGGCCATTTTTTCTGAAGAACGGACGGCTCTATTTGTGTGAGAGTGTAGTAGGATCTAGTATTTAGTGTGTATAAAGAGGTGATCGACGTAGATAAAAGTGGATTCGAGTAATGTATAGGAGTGGTGTTGAGTATAATATATACGTATTAAAGAAAGGTATAGGAATGATCCGAGAGAGTAAATTATTAGGTTATATAACAATTTAAATGATTAATTATTCACATATATATGAATTACATAATATATCAATTACATCTAAAAATAATACTTTAATTGTCTGTATGTTACTATTAGAAGCAAAGTTTAGTCTCCCACCTAAGACGTTCCTTAAATAGGGGGCAGAAACGACCGGTGTCAGATATTTGACAACGTGGACGACGAAATTTTTTTCCCGTATCCGCCCCAGAATTTTCGGGCTCTCACTTGTTGAGCGTTTTTTGTCCTCGCCTACCGTTGTTTAAACACAAACTACGGGCTACCGGTTTCTAGGTGTTTGACCACTCCTGTTACATACCCTGCTTCTGTTGTATAGTCCGTCGTTGCGGACGAGTAAACTCCGTCGCTGCAACAGCCGCTAAGGAAGCGCACGAAATATCTTCCTAAACTCCTAAAAGACCCTGCCGCCTAGTTCGCATCGCGCGCTGACTATGATCATTGCACACGAACAGAGCGTAATAGAAATCATTTAAGAAAAAATAATGTTCAAAACTGCCCGCGCGAGCTCCGACTCTTACTACAATGTTTTAAACCAAATTCACAAAATAGCTGCAAAATTAATATGCCAAATTTTCTTATAATTTCTCTCATTAAAGACCAGTGCTTACCGCAACACCATAAAACAGTCAATTCCATAAATAAATGAGAAATAAAGAAATTCTCTAACGTCCTATACACTCAAAATAAGGGATATGAAAGACATTATCAATAGGGTGCCTAAATATTTGACACGAC